TGGAGTGGGGGGGATGAAGGCTGCTGGGTGGTGGGCACTGAGCTTGCAGGGTGCTGGGGCGCCACGGGTGTTTGCCGGGGACGGGGGAATGCCTCCAGCTGAAGCTTGCAGGTGTTTGTGCCCGGAGTCGCTCGGGATGGGGAGCCCTCACCTGGGCTGCAGACCAGGGAAACCTGGAGAGGGTGTGCGCTCCGGGAACGAACTGGAGGTTGGGGAGCGGGCTGAAGGGTGCCGAAGGCGGGGGTGGGGGTGGCGGTGGCGGCGGGAGCGGGGGACAGGGGAGGAGAGTCTCTTGGCCCTCCCTCCGCCTGAAGTTCACTGCCACGGGCTTCAGTTTGGCAACGACAGACAAAGCCCCTGTAAACACGGACACAAGTGCTTGCCTCCCGTGAGTTGGAAGCTAGGAATGGGACTGGCTGCGTGTGGCCTGGTGTGCGCGTTGTGGAGCGCGGCGCCTGCAAGCTCCCCGCAGGCTTTGTCCCGGGGCCGGGGGCGCACGTGGAGGCCTTGAGTGAGAACAGCCCTGCGTCCTCGGGTTTAGGATTGGGAAGGGCGCGCAGTGCCTTTTGTACATAAAGGTTACAGGCTCATTGTTGCCCCCAAGTCGTATTGGTATTTTGCTCCTCTGTCCCTCCCCCCCCCCATTAGATTGCGTCCTATCTAGGGAAGATTCGGAAGCAACCGAAGAAAACATTGGTAGCTAAACCTAGTGAGAAATGAGAATCGTAAGAAATGAACAATAAGCAATGGTACTATTGTACAGCTCAAAAACTAAACGCTGAGGCCATACACTGTCTGCGACGTTTCATTAAATCTAATGAGTTATGTTATATAAACACTTACTATTAAAAGCACTTTTAATGTATAAAAAGACATATTAGGAATCCTCTTTTCTTTATATGCTTTCAGTTACTGCGATTGCACCAAAGGTTGCTTGCCTAATTTAATCACACTGTTGTGTGCTTTTTTTCTTGCTGGTTCCAGGAAATTCTAGAGTGATCTTATGCATTCAGATGAGAACAGAATTATATAGACTTTCTAGCTATTTGTTTTCCTATTGTAAATGGGAATGTCTCGCTCAGGGTATTCAGTAAATGTTAATAAAACCGACCTCTCAAGTAATCCTCTTGTAAAAAAAAATGCTGTTAATTACGAGGGCTTTAGGGTTGCGTCGACTTTAGGGCATGATGGCAATGAAATGTTGGACTGGGTATATATATAATTTCAGATTTTTAGAATATGATACGAAAGAAGAGTAAAGTTTGTCTTGTTTGGAATACTCCTGACTGGTCTCACCATCTGAAGTGAGAACAATCCAGGGTGTAAGACAGGCGGAAGGTTCCTCTGGGGTCACAATAGGCCTATCTCCTTTTTTTAAAGATCCTTCCACGAATAGGAAAGATCCCTGATTCTTTTAGCCCTTTAGGACTTTACTTGATGTGTCTCCATCACATTATTTTACATAATTGTTCTAACACATTGTTTTTAGATTTTCAAGCCCACAGGTAAAAAAAAAAAAAAAAAAAAAAAAAAAGAAAAAGAAAAAAAAGAAAAGAGAAATGAAATTATTGAAATGAAAAGGCTGGGGGGGGGGAAGACTTCTTAGAAGTGAATTGAGTTTTGAAATGAATTTCCAAAAGAGATGGAGAGTGATGCATACCTATATGGTGTATCTTTCAGACCTAAAACACCGATATTTGCTTCCTAAATTTACTGTTGAATAAAAATCCAGCTCATCCCCCAATAAACCAAAAGCGAATAGAATGCTATTTAAAGCAAGGGCAGCACGTGGCCCACTCCTAGGACCCTTGGATGAAAGCAGGGAACAAGTCTTTAAAATCTTACCAAGTATCTTTCCATTTATTCTGGACTACCCACCTGCTGCCACGCCACAGTCCCTGGCTGGTCAAGGAGATTAAATATTTCATTTTATTGCTTGTATTTCCTTACTTTTAGGTCTCTGTGGTAAACCACCAGTGTTCCAATCTATGAAGTTAAAGGTTCCCCCTCAACCTGCATATTTACCTGGGGAGAAAGTATATTATCAATGTAATCCAGGATATTATTATTCCTATTTTTATGGCCTCAGCACCTATTGTGAGAAAAATAACTCCTGGTACCCTATTGATGAAGCTTGTTACAGTAAGTAAATAAAGCCTTTCTTTTTTTGTATGCATGTGTGCTTGCTCTGGTGGTGCTGGTGTTGCTTTTAACTTGGATTCGTTTCCCACTGTGGCAATGATGATTTTCTCATGGGAAACGAGGTTTTCGATAGCAAGACAGGTGCTTAAGCTTTGACAAATCTCCCCGGGAAGTTTTTTGTAGGCGTGGTTTGGGTAAATGTGAGTTTATGTTTTCCCTTATAATAGTTAGCTCCAGCAAATACTATTGCACGAACTGACAACAGCGGTGTAGAATTATTTTTATTAAATCTGTTTTGAAATTTGTATAAAAAAATGAATTTGCAAATTTTCTTCTAGAAAAAGAATGTCCAGCTCCCAAGGTTCCTAACGGTAAAGTCTATGAGCAGTATGAACCACAAACGGGCTTTCAATTTGATAAAGATGCGTACTTTTATTGCAACTATGGGTAAGTGGCCCCTTAGAGAAAAGATGGGAAAGGTTACCGGTTCCATATTGTTTTTCTTCTCTTCTTCAACCAGTGGTTCTCAACCGTGGCTGCACACTAGAATCACCTGGGAATCTTTTAAAAATCTAATCAGGCTTTTAAAAAGATTCCCAGGTGATTCTAATGTGCAGCCAAGGTTGAGAACCACTGTCTTAAACATTGCCATCAAGTTGATTTCACCTGCTTTCTGTGTGACCAGTTGCACTTGCAGCCAATCAACTCCCCGGCTTTTGAGGGAGACTGAAAACATATGGACTTAATAGAAACTTAAAGGAAAGCCGAATTACATAACCCTTGCTATAGGTAACAATCAGCTTATTGTAAGCATCACAAATGTAGTTAGTAATCATGGTGACTTCATCCTTGACAACAACATGCACCCTATTAAAAACAAAACAAGTCTCAGAGTTGAAGGAGCGCTCACAGAAATGTGTTGTTGAAGTCCTTTAATTCTTTACATACTTTCTATCTGGTGGCTCTATACTTCATTGTGAGTGGGGTATTGAAGTCTGTAACTATTATGGCAGAAATGGCTGTTATGTAGAAAGGTGTGTTTCTCCAGTTCTGTTGCTTTCTATATTTTGATGATCTGTCATTGGGTGTCAATGTTTATAACCGTTTTAGCTGTTTGTTAGGTACCTTTTATTCATAATACTTAAGGTCATTTGTCTCTTGTAAACTTTTTTGATTTTGAGTCTGTTTTACCTGATACTAGTACAGCCACTCCCGTTTTTTTGGGGGGATACTGTTTGCATGGAATATCTTTTTCCATCCATCAACTGATTTTGTCTTTGGATCTCAAAAGAGTGTCTTGTATACAACATATAGTAGGATTATGTGTTCATTCTGCCAACTTCCTTCTTGTGATTAGAGAGTTTGTCATTTAAATGTAAACTAGCGACCAGGAGGGACTTCTGCCTTTGGGGTATATGCTTTCTAGATGCCTGGTAGTCTTTTTGGTTCATTTCCTGCATTACTGTCTTCCTTTTATGTGGTCTTTTTTGTAATGAAATGTTAAAAATTATTCCTCATTTCTTTTTGAGTATATTCTATTGCTATTTTTTGTGTGGTAACCATGGGGATTACATTTAAAATCCAAAAGTTATATCAATCTAAATTGGAATTTATACCAGTTTAATACACACAAGCTTAACTCCTTTATAGAGTCATAGCCACCCCATTTGGTTGTTACTGTCTCAAAATTGCATCTTTTTATATTCTTTTAAATGCATTATCTCTTATATACAAAACAAGATTTGGAGTTAAAAAACAAAGTTACAGACCTGGCTGGTGTGGCTCAGTGGTTGAGTGTCGACCTATGAACCAGGAGGTCACAGGTTCGATTCCCAGTCAGGGCACATGCAGGGGTTGCAAGCTTGATCCCCAGTGTGGGGCTGCAGGAGGCAGCCGATCAATGATTCTCTCTCATCATCTCTCTATCCCTTTCTCTCTCCCCTTTCCTCTCTGAAATCAATAAAAAAAACATATATATTTTTTTTAAAGTTACTGTCCTGCTAGTTTTTACACTAAAAATTTTTTCTTTAAATGTATTATCTCTTAAATTGTGAAGAGAACAAAATTATGGTTACAAACTATTTTTAAAACAATACAAGCTTTTATAACTGCCCATGTATTTACCGTTAGTGAGAAGTTTATTTCCCATCTGGGTGAAAGTTACTTTCAAGTGCCCTTTTATTTGACCTTGGAAGACTCTTTTTTTTTTTTCAAATTTTATTTTTTATTACAAAGGGTATTACATATGTGTCCATTTTTTGCCCCGCCCTAGACAGTCCCCCAGCCTCCCCCATTCCCCAGTGTCTTATGGCCATATAAACTCTTGAACAATAATCAAGTGCCCTTTTATTTGACCTTGGAAGACTCCTTTGAAAATTTCTTATAGGGAAATCCTAGTGGCCACAGGCTCCCTCAGCTTTGGTTTACCCTGGACTGTTTTAATTCCCCCTTCACTTTGAGGACAGTTTTGCTGGGTAAAGTATTTTGGGTTTAGAGTTGTTCTTTTCTTTTAGCACTTTTAGTACATCTACCCACTGTCTTCTGGGTTCCAAATTTTCTGATGATATACTGATTATATTATTAAGAACCCCTTGTATGTCATGATTTATTCCCTCTCCTAGTTCAAGATTCTCTGTCTTTGGTTTTTGAGTGTTTGATTACAGTCATCCTTATGTATCATTGGGGGATTATTTCCAGCATATCTCCCCACCCCCTGCTGATACTAATCCAAGTCCCTGGTATAAAAGGACATGGTATTTGCCCTTAACCTATAGACATCCTCCTGTGTACTTTAAATCACCTCTAGACTACTTATAATAACTAATACAATGTAAAGGCTGTATAAAATAGTTGTTACACTGTATTGTTCATGGAATGATGACAAGAAAAAGAAATCTGTACTTTTTCTTTTTAAGAATATTTTCAGTTCTTGGTTGGTTAAATCCACAGATGTAAAACCTACAGATCTGGAGAGTCTACTGTATTGTGTCTTAGTGTAGGTCATTTTGAAATCATTTTACCTGGTGGTTATTGAGCTCTTGGGTGTTTATATTCCTGTCTGTTATCAAATTCGGGGAGCTGTGCGCCTTCATATTCTTTATATATTCTTTTTGCCCATTTCTGTCTTCTCATTTTGGAATTATCACAATGTGCATGTTGGTCCACTTGATGGTATCCTACAGGTCCCTTAAGCTCTGTTAATTTTTCTTCATTTTATTTTTCTTTCTGTTCTTTAGATAATTTTTATTGTCCTAACTTCATGTTCACTGATTCATTCTTTGGCCTGCTCAAATCTACCTTTAAAACCTCTAGTGAATTTTTCAAGGCATATTGTACTTTTGAATTCCAGAATTTCTTTTTGTTGTTTTTTTCTGTTTTTTATTCATCTGCTTATTGATATTTCAGTTTGTTCACACATCATTTTCTTAACCTTCCTTCATATTTTTAATTTAGTTCTTCGTGCATCTCTCAGAGTTATTCTGAGGTCTTTGTTTAATAAATCTGCCATCAATGCCTTTATCAGGGACAGTTTGTTGATTTTTTTAAAAAAATGGATCATACGTGCCTCATTCTTGTCATGCCTTGTGATTTATTTTATTTTTGAATTTATATTGAATCTAATAATGTGGTAACTCAAGAAATCAGCTTCTGTACCTTCCTTAGACCTTGCTATTTTGGGTATTGTCTTTGGATACTTTCATTGTAGTGTGGTGTCTCCGTGCTGAGGGTCAGCCCAAGATACAAACCGAAGGTCTTCTCAGGCTGTTTCTGAGTCTTGCCCTGAGCACGTGCACCCAATTTCTAACTTTCTATCTATATGCAGTTCTTTTTGAAGATCCTGGTTTTTAATATCTGCCTTCTAAGAGAGGTAAAGAAAAATATGTAGTGGAGAGAAAGGGGTGCAGGATCTTTAAATCCCCTGAAAGTCGTTTCAGCTGGGGAGGAAAGGGCCAGCTAGAGAAGCAGGTGCTACAATGGCCTCCCCTCTCTTTGTCCGCTTCTCTGTGATCCGCAGCAGTAATCAGAACACAGTTTTCTGATATTTGTAGGGCAGGGCCTTTTTGCCGCCCTGGCTCTTGCAGGCTGCTTGAGGAATACAGACACAGCTGCCTGCCACATTGTGGATGGTGGGGGATGTATAGCTGCTATTTTCCTAAGAGCTGAAATTACGTTTACTTGTTGGAGTCTTTCCCTGGAAGTTTCAAGCCCTCAATAGACCGCAGAGTTCAAAAATAGTTAACTCAAGCAGATCCTGCTATTGAAATTGTTGTCTAATTGGAGTGACAAAGTCCTACTCTGCTATCTCCTCAGAATTCTCTCTGAAAACACTAACATATGGAGAAAATGATTGAACCTTCTGAAACTGTACAAACCGTTTCACTATTTTTTAACTTAATCAAGTAAAAATAATGGAACATCCATTTAATAGTTATATACAGAGCGACTGCTAAAGCATTTTGAGGGGTACCAAATATTTAAGATTTTTTTCTCTCAGAAATTGTATCCTTATTGAGAAATACAATATAGACAGAGAGATGTGACAGCAAAATAGTAAAGGAGAAGTACCAAATAGTAGTTCATGATTATTGCAATGAGAATCCAGAAGGAAGAGAGTACTGTGAATTTAAGTAATCAGAGATTTCATCAAGTCGTATGTCTGAGCTATCCTAAGAAACACAACCTGATTTAAAGAATACATGCATACCTCGTTTTATTGTGCTTTGCTTTATTGCACCTTGCATATATTGCATTTTTATCAAAATCCAAGCATAACACTCCACCAGCAAAAAAGTCACAACTTGGCTGAAGGCTCAATGATGATTAGCTTTTTTTTTTTATTAAGCATAAAGCATTTTTAAATTAAACTATATACATTCTGTCTTTAGACATAATGCTATTGAACACTTGATATACTACTTTATAGTATAAATATAACTTCATATGCACTGGTCAACCAAAAGTTTTGTATGATTCGAGTTCTTGTGATAATCACTTGATTGGTGGTGGCCTGGAACCGAACCCATGATATCGCTGAGGTATGCCTGCATTAATAAGAGCTAAAACTTACCTAGCACTCACTATTAACTCATCTAATACTCAAAACAGCCCTATGACATATATACTATTATCTCCTCTTCATAGATGAGGAATGTGGAAAGGGAAACATGAAGGGACTTGCCCAAGCTCAAATAACCAGTCAGTGTGAGAGCTGGGACTCGAATCCAGTAGGCAAGCTCTGTACTGCGTTGTGGTGTGACTGAGCAGAATGGAAGGAGCAAAGCCATGGAAATTAATGGGTTATGCCCAGGAGAGCAAAAAGGCCAGCCTGCCAGGCATGGCAGGTGTCTTTAGATATCTTTGCTCTTGGCCCATGTGTGTGCAAATGCAGAGACTGTTTAATTAAATTTCAGATTTGGTTAGAACTTTCATGATAGTGTGCTATGTAAGAAAATTCCCCCTCAACTTATTATAGTGCAGAAAACAACTATATGAAATGTTCCTCTTTATTATGTACATCTTGTTAACTGGTAAATAAAACAGTAACCTTTTTTTCCCCCTTCATTTAGTTATTATTTAAAAGGTGAACCAATTGTAACTTGTAAACTTTCTGGAGACACAGTGTATTGGGGCGGTGATATCCCAACATGTGAAAGTAAGTAAATTTCCACTTTAGAATTTAGACCAGCAATTCTCAATATTTTTGGCCTGGGGGACCCACTTATGCTGATTTTTTTTAAGTATAATTGATATAGAATAGTATATTGGTTTCAGCATAATGATTCGTTTATTTATGTGCCTTACAATGTAATCACTATGATAAGTATAGTAACCATTGTCACTATTCAAATGTATTACATTATTATTGTACTAGAGGCCTGATGCACGAAATTCATGCAAGAGGAGGCCTTCCTTTCCCCATCTGCCAGCACTGGCTTCGTCCGGAAGGATGTCCGGTCTAATTAGCATATTATGCTTTTATTATTATAGGTTCCCTGTGCTATGTATTACATCCTGGTGACTTGATTCATTTTTTAAAATATATTTTTATTGATTTCAGATAGAGGAAGGGAGGGAGAGAGAGATAGAAACATCAGTGATGAGAGAGAATCACTGATTGGCTGCCTCCTGCATAACCCATACTGCCAACCAAGCCTGCAACCCGGGCATGTGCCCTGATCTGGAATTGAACCATTACTCCCTGGTTCATGGGTCAAAGCTCAGCCTCTGAGCCACACTGGTCTGGCATTGATTTATTTTATAACTGGAAATCTATACCTCTTATTCCCCTTTTCCTATTTACCCATCCTCCCGGCCCCCTTTACTCTGCAACCATCAGTTTATTCTCTGTATCTATAAGTCTGTTTCTATCTGGTTTGTTTCTTATTTTAGATTCCACATGTCATAAAATCACGTGGTATTTTCTTTCTCTTTCTGACTTATTTCATTTAGTATAATACCCTCTAAGTCCATCAATGTTATTGGCAAATGATGAGATTTCATTCTTTTTTTTTTTGTCTGATAATATCCCATTGCATATGAATGTATATTTGTATCCTATCTAATAAAATAGTAATATGCAAACTAACCATCACTCCAACACACAAGATGGTCACCACGAGATGGCCAGCAGGGGAGGGCAGTTGGGAGGGACCAGGCCTGAAAGGGAGGGCAGTTGGGGGCAACCAGGCTGGCAGGGGAGTGATTAGGGGCAGTCACTCAGGTGAGTGGTTGGGAGCCAACAGTCCTGGATTGTGAGAGGCATGTCCCATATTGGAGAGGGTGCAGGCTGGGCTGATGGACACCCCCCTCCCCCGTGCACAAATTTCATGCACCAAGCCTCTAGTATTATATAAATATATATATATATACACATATATGTGTGTGTGTATATATATATATGTATATATATGTGTGTGTATATGTGTGTGTGTGTGTATCACCTTTTTAATCCATTCACCTATTGATGGACACCTAGGTTGTTTCTAAAACTTGGCTATTATAAATAATGCTATAATGAACCTAGGGGTGTATATATCTTTTGAATTAGTGTTTTTGTTTTTTTCTGATAAATGCCAACAAGTGGAATGGCTGGGTCAAATTGTACTTATGTTTTTAATATTTTGAGGAACCTCACAACTGTTTCTGATAGTGGCTGCACCAAATTACAATCTCACCAACAGTGTAAGAGGGCTCCCTTTTCTCCACATTTTTGCCCTTTATGTTTTTAATTAACAAAGATTCCAAAGAGCTTCACTTTATGTGATTTATGTCTATCGATATTTATTATATTGGAATGAAAACAAGTTTCTAAAATAATTATTCATTAATATAAATTTTAAAAAAACAGTAAAGTTGATGCATGTTTAATCATATTTTATAAAAAATTTTAAAATGTCCAAAAACAAATTGTGAGAATGGTAGCATTGTTTTACACTTTCATAAATCTCTTCAAAATCTGGCTTAAAGGAAGACACTTAGATTTAATTTGTTGTGAAATAACTCATTTTGTAATTTCTGGAACATTTCACTGTACTCGTCAGGTTTAAAGTGAAAAACAGACATATCTTAGTATAATTGTGAACCAATGAATTAACAAATATTTATAAATTATAAAGCATTTCTCAACTATCAGTGAAGCTTTAATCACATGCATATTTTCTCCTCAAATTTTCAGCAAACCTTAGGATGACTAGAACAAAACTTACATAGCCTTATAGATAAATATTGGTATTTCATTTAGGTATTTAAGAAAATCAGTTTTCTTTTGAAAATTCATTTCTACCTGGTTTGACTTTGGGATAATAACATTTTCTCACAGAAACATACTAAATGGGTAGTAGATTCACCACTAGATTATAGAAATCACATGTTAATGGATTTATTGAATTTATTTTACTAAATGTTGTCTTAATCTTTCATTTTCCTTTCATTTCCTCTGTTCTCTCTCTCTCTCTCTCTCTCTCTCTCTCTCTCTCTCTCTCTCTCTCTCTCAGAGATTCTCTGTGGAGAACCTGGAATAATAGAAAATGGAAAACGCACGAATAGCTGGAGGGTTGAATTTGAATTTAATGAAGTAGTGACTTATACTTGTGACCCTTCAGATGGACCTCAGGAGTATTCACTTGTTGGAGAGAGCAAGCTTTCTTGTTCTGGGCCTGACAAATGGAGTAGTGGCCCTCCTCAATGTAAAGGTAATGATATTTCCATTTATTCTTCATTTGTAAATACAGTAGAAACACTTTGTAGATAGTTTTACCTATAAGTAAACAAAGAGTCATATGCACTTATGCTGATTTTTTTTTAAGTATAATTGATATAGAATAGTATATTGGTTTCAGCATAATGATTCGTTTATTTATGTGCCTTACAATGTAATCACTATGATAAGTATAGTAACCATTGTCACTATTCAAATGTATTACATTATTATTGTACTAGAGGCCTGATGCACGAAATTCATGCAAGAGGAGGCCTTCCTTTCCCCATCTGCCAGCACTGGCTTCGTCCGGAAGGATGTCCGGTCTAATTAGCATATTATGCTTTTATTATTATAGGTTCCCTGTGCTATGTATTACATCCTGGTGACTTGATTCATTTTTTAAAATATATTTTTATTGATTTCAGATAGAGGAAGGGAGGGAGAGAGAGATAGAAACATCAGTGATGAGAGAATGTCTGAGAATATCACAATAGGTAATGGTGGAATAAATTGTACAAGACTGACTCTCTTACTGAAAACAATGATAAACTCTGTACACACATTTTTTTAAAAAAAAGTTCTTTTTATATTAAAATGTCTGAGATATATCACAATAGGTAATGGTGGAATAAATTGTACAAGACTGACTCTCTTACTGAAAACAATGATAAACTATGTACACACTTTTTTTAAATGTG